TGATGGATGTATAGATAAAAAACAAAGCATTTGATATAAGCTGCTGCTGTTTGTGATGTTTTGATGCTCTGGCGCCCCGGTTTACTAGATGTACCTGAATGCACCATAATATCTGGATTCCAACTTGGTTGAACTTTTCTAAATTCACTGTTTATTTCCTGAACATGTTTTTAGGTTCAGTTAAACAGTTTGATGCTGATCATAATTCGCTATTTTTAATATAAATAAATGAAAACTTTCCAACATCTGTCGTTTCTAATGCAGGAAAACCAAAAAAAAAAAGCAGGAATTAATTCCCGATGACAGACAGTCTGACAGAGAGAGTTTTAACAAACATACTTTTATATTTTAAACCACTTCTCATAGTTATAAGATGAAATTCTGTGGTTTTCTGTGGGAACCTGAAGCTAACCCTGCGTGCTCACCTGCAGAGGGGCTGCTCGCGGTAGGCTGCGTTTGGATCCTGGCTGTGGGAGCAGGTGGCGCACAGACAGCTGAAGAGGTCACTGAGGGGGTACTCTGAGGTCTGCAGGACAGTGATGAAGGTTGTCGCTGCGTCTGAGACCTGACCCGACCCGTTAGATAAGCTGCCAGCCGATTGGCTGGATGGAGCGCCCCCATCCTGCCTAGCTGGATCTTTGCAAAAGGGTACGGCTTCCCGTTCACCTGCAAGAGAGCAGAAGGTTTAAAGGTCAAAGATGCTTTCACAACGGCGCCTCTCTGGTTTGGGGCCAGGTCGGGTTTCTAGTTGTCTAATTGAAGTGTTTCTAGATGAACCCCATGAACAATATTGTTATCTGGGTATCTACCTGTATCACTTCATCTGATCCTCCTGGCTGTTTCTTTTTAGCCAACAGGAAGCCATTGGGAGGAACTCTGGTCAGTAAAGGCACCGCTGATTCCACCTCCTTTACTTGGTTTAATTCTGCTGTGCCTTCAGTTCTTAGCTCCTCTCTAATCGGGGAATGTCTGAAGTCTCCTACATCCTCCAGTAAGTCATCTTCCGTTATTTCCTCCTGCCAATCTTCCATGGGTCCCTCTTCCTCTTCCATTGGGATCTCCTCCTCCTCCGTCACCTCCCACTGCCAGTCCTCCACAGTCTCAGTCAAAGTCTGATTAGTATTCCTGTCTGCAGGAGGCTCCTCATTCTTCTGGGGAAATCCTGATTTCTTGTCCTGAAAGAAGAAAAATGTGGAGTCAGATGGAGGAAAAAGGAAAACCAAACCGAGCGTTTTACCGACTAGTAGGTCAGGTCAAAGCTTCACCCCAAATCTTCTTACAAAGAAAACTGAACCAACTCATCCACCAGAGGGCACTGCTGTTTATTCCTAATCGGGGCCTCACTAGCTCTGCTAGCAGAACAAAGTCTCTCCCAGCTTTGATTGGTGGATTAGAGTAAAAACAGAGAGCTAGCTCACAGTTAGCATCCACTTCAAAAAAACAACGATAAACAGTCTGACAGAGCTGTCACTACCTGATCCGTCCTGCACAAGTGCCAACAGAAGAATGAGATCCAGTTTACAGAAAAACTACGTAAAAAGGGTAATGAAGATTAAAGTCAGAATTCTGAGAAAA